TGTCATTCATCTAATGTATGCTTTTTTTTTTGGGAGCATTTTCTATACTTGGATCATGTCAGATGTGTGTTACTGTTCTTAAAGCTGGGGCAATAACATTTATATATTATTTTATATCTCGGTTCAAAACTGGTTTTGGTAATCTGTGGTATCAGTGTATCGGACATATACTGACCTGTATCATCTAGTATCAGCTGAAAAAGTATTAAAAAACTTAATACCAGTACTGGACCACATGGTCTGGTACAGGTTCTTGCTTGGACTGGTAAATATCAATCGATTCTTACTGTACCAGCAACTAATTAATCTGATCATGTTAGGTAATTCAATTTGCCGAGTATTTTTAGTAGTAAATTATAGTTTTACATGATTTCTATGTGATAAGATTGGAGGAGCAAAAGCTGGGGCATCTAACTTCTATTGGCTTGCTTCAATTTTGTATTTCTGACTAGGATGCTAGGATATTGTGGCTAGAACTCAAAACAAGTAAGACATACCATAATTTCCTGATTGAGCTTGATCAAGTTCAATTTGCTTTGTTCCCTATTCATGCAGTGTATGCAACTAATTTAAAATCTTATGTACCTTAATTTGAACTTTGTGTCATATGATGTGTACTCTGTAAATATTGTTCTTTAACCTTGATAATTATAATTGTTCTGACTTCAAGTTTTTTTAAAATCATCAGGCTGTTAAGCATCTACTTAAATTGAATGAGAACGATCCAGATTGTCATCGGTGTTTGGTACGTGTTACCAACTTGTAAACTTGCTTGGTGTAGCTTTTGCTTCTCGGAAGTTTAACTTATTTTGATGAAAGACAGCATATCTAAATCAGCTGCACTGATATGTGATTCATCTACATCTGTGGATATATGACATTCAAAGTTTATATATGTGAATATGTGCAAAATTTTTATGGATTTTAATCATGGTTATGGTCGAAAACCTTTGATTGCATGCACATTATCCAAGTCATTACACCTCTTTGTTTGCGATGATCAGCAGTCATCATACCTCTAATATCTCAAGGCTCCATACCTTGAATATTAGAGGGGGCCTGAGTGAAGGAGAAAAGGAAGTTTAAATATGGACAAAACAAGATCATTGGGATTGTGGGTTTAAATTTTGCATTGCAAGAATTGTGGGTTTAAACTTTGCATTGCAAGAATTATGGTACTATTTTATTGGAGAAATTACTTGAACTTAAGGGAGAATAACTGAGAAGCTTGGTTGTGGTTATCACTTACCAGATGATGGATTTGGCTATTCAGTATAGTTGCAGATCATTTGATGCAAGTACTTAGTGATTTGGTTTTCTTCGGATTGTAGGACCCGGTTGCCTAAAGCCAGTCCAGACTTATGGCCCCTATGTTAGTTATGGGTATTTATGGGTATGAGATAAAGCCTCTTTGAATTTATTAGACCTGGACTAGGATCCTAGTGGAGAATATTACAAAATGAAGTGTTTTTAATCTATATATTCTGATACTTCTATAAATTTATTAAATTTTTTCTGTAGAATTCCAGTGATGTCCTTGGTATTTCTTTGCTTATTTTGTTCTTGCTTGAGATTTGGGTATGAATTCTGACCTTCCAGTTTTGTAAATTAGGTAATTTGTGTGATTGACTTGGCCAAGCTTTCATTTGAATTTTGTTTATTCTATTAGCTAGTTTTTTACTTTTTAATAATTTAGCATATATTGGACCTTTGCTCCACTGCGGCTGATTTGGAACTGATCTCTTACACCAGAACCCAATAATAAAATGTTTCAAATCTGATCCTCTGACCCATTGCTTGAAGCAGGTCCATGTCCAGTTTCAATCATGCCTGAACTTGTCCAGGTCCTAGCATATATCACTAGTTTTGTCAAATGCCAGGAATGAAAGTTTTGAAATTTTAATTTGGATGATAATTGAAACAGAAGAGTGTCAATTAGAAGAGTCAAAATTGGACTTTATTGATGTTTAAGTTGGATGGACGTGGAAGTTGGATTATGCAAAACTATTAGGCCTAAAGTGGAGATAAGTCATGCTTATAAAATAAATTAGAATATTAATGTTGTTCATTAATTAATCATCCAGAAACCTTGGAGATAGTGTGACTCACATAAGGTTTTATTTAATATTTGCACTTTTCTCTTTTACACTGTAAGCTGGTTTAAGTGTGTGGAAAAGAAAAGTTAAGGTGTCTGTGGAAACTTCAATTAATTCCAATTGTGATTACTAGTCAAAAAATGTGTGGAAGTCATATTTTTCATGGTGCTAAAATAACTTGCAGGTGCATATTCTGATGCATAAGTGACTAATAGAGCAACTACAAGATTATGGAACAAAAAATAACCGTATCCAAAAGAAACTTTTGATTGTAAGACTAGGGTATTAGTCCATTGCTCTCTAGCTTTTCATGAACCTTGAGCTATAAGAACTTAGATAAATAGTATGAGCTTAAAATTTGACATCTGAATTTGTATTTTGACCTTCAAAGACAGATGTTGCATTTTCTCAGAAGGATGAGTATTTTTCCTTGACAGTGTGTTTGTGCAGTGAGAATACAATTGCCTAAACTTTTATATTGATTGATTTAGAATGTAAACATCAAAGAGAGTAAATTTACTTGTCCACTACCGATCACATTATAGCACCACAAACAAAGTTGTGGTCCTGAGGTATGCAACAAAGCTTTGTTTCTAAAAGTCATCCACAGATTTCACAAGGAAAGGAACTGTAAAATGCTACTGTTTGTTCAATCTATTTCTTCAGCATTTCTTGTATTTTTACTTCTTGTAATCTAAAGATTGTAGAATATAATTTGGCCTGGATAAACTGTCACAATTATTTCTGTTATGGTAGACTAATTCATTGTACCATTTCACAGATAAAGTTCTTTCACAAAGTTAGCAGCTTGACTTCTCCAACGATAGACTCAGAGAAACTTGTTTGGAATGTATTAGTAGCAGAACGACCACATATAAGGTTGCTGTTGATGCCTGTTTTACTTCAACAAATTCACATTTTTTTTGAAGTGGGTAATAGGTTTATGATTCTCGTTTCTTGCAGTCAGTTGAGCGGAAAGTCAATAATTGAAACTAATAAATCTTTCCTCGAGAAGCATAAAGGTTTTTAAATTGTTTCCTACCAAGTTATCTTTTGGATGACACTGAGGTTGTAAATATAATCTCTCTGAATTTTCAGATTCCTTAATGCATAGAGCAGCAGCTGCTGAAATGCTATATGTTCTTGAGCCAGATAAGAAGCTTGATGCAATTATGTTAATTGAAGATTCGAAAAACACACTAGCAATGGGGTAAGAACGATCTTAACTAGTAGACAATCATATTCATCTTTTAATGATTCTGGACTTTTAAACAGAAATGATGCACTTGGTCCTGTCAACATATGGAAGCTTGAAGACTGTATTGCAGTCCACAAATTGCTTGAAGATGTGTTCAAGGATCACGGTTCTGCTTCTAGTAAGTGTACATGGATATTTCAGTAGTCAAATAAGTATTTTATGCATTTGTACTTGTCTGGGTAAATAAGCTTTGTTAAAATCTAAATTATCATTTCTCCTGATACTTTTGTGCAACTACAGGATGGAGAGCACGGTGCGCAGAATACTTTCCATATTCAACATATTTTGGAGGCTGCAGTAGCTCTGCTGTCATGTGTACAATCAGTAATAACACACATAGTCTGCCAGAAAATGGAATTGCAGCTTGCCAAGATGCCAAAATAGTAGATTCTCATTTCTTAAATGGAAAACTACATGGCTTGAAGGACCTGAAAATTCAATAGTGAATGGTTCTCTTGTCTAACGCTACAGGTGGATCCAAAAAATGCTTGAGATGGGAAGTGGAGTGATCTCTTCAATTGTAGAATCTTGCCTCACTCATTACAGTACAAAAGTTTATTTTTCTTGCCAGGGCACTTAGAAGGTATTTTTGATGGCTCATTGCAGTAAAGATATTGCTGGGTTGGTACTAACACCTTGAGTAATTTTGTAGTATTAGATCTGATCTCGCTAAAATGGTGGAAGCTTTTCCTCGCATCAAACAGTCAGTCATTTATCAGTTTTGAGCTCGGTAGCAAAGATCTGTAAGTGGTCAGCTAGCTTGGAGATATATTTAAGCAGTGCGTCAATGATTATTGCCTGGATTTACTTTTGTGCACTCCTTTAGGACAAATTTTGTGTGATCTGTGTTATTATTAAAGTACAAATTTTGGCATATGCTATGTGCGATCCCATTATTGTCTTCAAGAGCTGAATAATGTTATGCATTCAAATCTGATTGGCGACAATAAGAGAGCTTTGTTTGTTCCCCGCATGATAATATTTACAAGCTTTTGATACACACTCGTATGGTCAGTGTAAATCAGTTAAATACCTTTTATTATGCTGGTGTCAAAATGTTCCTAAATGTGGTGTTCTAGTTTCCTATAACTTTCATATATGCACACACACACACACACTATATATATATATATATATATATATATATATATATATATATATATATATATATATATATATATAACCTTTTACCGTGTCACAGTAGTTATTCTACTTTGACGAGCCGACATCATGCGTGGTTTTCTTAGCAATACTGAAGCTACCCTGTCCATTGGAGACAGCGGCAGTGTGTCATTTGAGTTGTCACTTTCGAATTTTTTTTCCTGCACTATTTGCTTTCGCTTTCATCGATCAGGCCCTCGTGGTTATGTTTTGAGGTACGATGCCCAAGCAGGAAACACCAAGATGCATACGTCGCCATTTCGTTCTCTTTTTGTCCACACCACCTGCAGTGGACAAGATAAATAAAGGGCAACAAGGGTAGTGGCAGGCAGCCCATGGATGATGACGACGATATAACCTAAAAGAGACTCTAAGTTGGCGTTCTTAAATTAGGACAGACGGCTGACGCTAATCATAGTATCGTTAAAGCAACACGGAACGTAGCTGTTTGATTGTTGTGCTCTGCAATTTCTCGAGTCGTCTACGTACGCTGATCCCAGCCAACCTCGCACGATACGCGTTGGCAGTCCCCGCCCTTTTTCCTTCTTTTCCTTTTCTCTTTATAGTCTTTCCGTTGCCCCCTTCCTTTGTCTCTTTTGCTTTCCCCTCCTCCCTCCACTTTCGTTTATTTTCCTCTTCGGTCGCCCGTAGAATTGCTAAACGAGCTGTGGTAGAGGAGACAGCCGCTTTGCTACGGGGCCCTCTGGGCAAATCTTTACCGCCCGATCCCGCCACGCGTCCGTCGAAGGCTGCCCGAGACTCGTCCTCTCCTCTCTTCTCTGTTAGTAACTACTCACCTCCCGTACTGCTTCACCTGTTCTTCGGATCGACTGCCTTTGGGGGAGGAAAAGATCGGAGCAGGAGATGTCGACGACAGAGTCGGGGAATAGCTCGACAGAGTCGGAGGTGTCCGGTCTCGACTACGAGGAGACACAGCTGACGCTCGCCCCGCCCGGGGGTTCGAAATCGGAACCCGAGAGGAAGCGCGGTTTCTCGGAGTCTGTCGATCTCAGATTCGGGAGGCCTGCGTTGGAGGCGCACGCCAAGGATCCCGCCTCCGGATCCTCCGACGGGCCCGTCTCCGGTGCCGGAAAGTCTCCAGCCTCCAAGTAAGTAGCGCATGCGTACAACCTCAACTCATGTTCCGAACTTACGCTTTTGCCCCTGTGAACTGTCTCGATTTCCGGTGCCGTAGTTTGGTGGGTCTTTTGGGTCGTCTCGATGGAGAACGGCAAGTGCGCCTCCCGACCGTAGATGAGAGGACCTAATTACCCCTAGATTGTTCTCATATTCACTAAGCTGTGCCCTTCATTCCTACGTTGCCTTGCCTGGACTTATCTTATTCTATCAGTTACGAAGACGAGCGTCGATTACCGATGTCAATGGTGTGCCCAGTGATTCCACGATCTGGTTGATGCGCCCTTGAAGCAAAGAAAACGGCTGTCTTAACGCTCTCGTCCTTTTGGTTGAGGCGCGATGGGGTTGACTTCAATTGTAATACCATCGATCTTTAGTTTGTTTTCTGCTTTTGACAGGGCACAGGTGGTGGGTTGGCCGCCGGTGAGGTCGTTCCGGAGGAACGCTTTAAGGAGCTGCACCTATGTGAAGGTGGCCGTGGATGGGACGCCCTACCTTCGTAAGGTTGACCTCGACGCCTACGCAGGGTACCAGCAGCTGCTGATCGCCCTCGAGGAGATGTTCTCCTGTTTCACCGCCCGTCAGTCCATTTCGTCTCTCTCTCTCTCTCTCTCTCTCTCATACACCTACCGATGTATCATCGTTGCGGACCTGATTACCGATTTTATCCTGTCACCCTCCATCATCTTCTTCTGGTTTGGCACCTATGAGGGCGATTGATTCCGTTGCTGATTTGCTGCAGGCGACTATACCAACGAGAGGAGGCTGGTCGACCCCGTGAACGGGGCAGCTTATGTCCCTACTTATGAGGACAAGGACGGTGACTGGATGCTTGTTGGTGATGTCCCCTGGAAGTAAGTTTCTCCATTTCCTTCTGTTTGTGAAGGGAGGTGGGGAATTGGGAATTGGGAATTGGGAATCGGAAACGAAAAAGAAATATTTGATTTGGGTTGTTCTGAAGTTAGATGCATGGATCAATACCAACATATCCAATCTGCAAGATTGAGTTTTGATGATTTAAATTCTCAAAGCCATTCAACTTTGCCATGATGCATAACTATAGGCAGGTTCAAATGAAGAAGAACATAAAGGCTTTCATTCAGGGATGAGAAATGTCTTGAACAAGTTGTTTTTGCATTAGTAAATTTTTGTCACATGGTTGGAGGACAGGTGGAAATGCATTCTCTAGAATTTAAGCAGGGTGTCCGATATTCACATGCAACTTTAAGATTCTGTAAATGTCCTCTAAATGGCCATAAATGTATATATATTATATGATGCCATAACAACATTGCTAAGTGGGATGAACTTCATTGTGTAGAGTAAGAAACAGTGGCAATAAAAAGAAGCTTTCCCTTTCTAATATGCTTTAGTGCTTTATCATTTTAATACACCTAATATATCATTACTTTTTAGTATCTGTAATCAAAATCACGATATAGTACTCATTTGCTGTTATGTTGTGTGATGTCTGTAGCTTGAAGCTTCATGATGGTGCACGCCATCATGTTGCATGAGCAGTTCTAATTAATGCTTCCGGTTTCTAGGATGTTTGTTGCTTCATGCAAGAGACTGAGGTTGATGAAAAGCTCAGAAGCTGTCAATTTAGGTAACTTGGATGAACTTCTCACGCTCCATTGTTTTGAACACTGATCACCCATTGATTATTGAGATATTACATGGAGTGTGGAGCACACAGATGCATGTTTATGTTTGAAATCCATGAATTTTTTTTCTTCTTTTTTTGTACTATCCATTTTCCATTAAGCGGCCATTGCATCAAACCCTCAGGGATGCGCCAATGCCAGGTGTTTCCTACAGTCCTCATGGGTTCAACTTAGTCTTTTTGCTTGCTGTGGTGCTTGCAGCTCCAAGAACACCTCAGGGATGCGCCAATGCCAGGTGAACCAGGACACAACATCAATAAAAACAATGAGATGTGTACATAAATTGTTTGTAATCCTTCCATGTTTCACATGTTCTGACTAGCATCAAGGAGAGTAGGAAATAAGAATTGTCGTACTTAATGTGTCATGGGTTATAGTTTGTAGCAGTTTAACAGTATGTTGCGTGATAATAAGCAGAGTTGGGTTTTCTGCCTGTTGTCTTGTGTGGCTGCTCCTTATTAGCGTTTTGGGTTGAATTTACTTGGATGAGAACATTGCGTATGATGTGCCTGCGATGAACAGAACACATGATGATTCCTAAATCCTTGAAATGTTCTCAACATATTCGGAGTGAATCAAGGACTCTAATCGAACAAAATATCCCTCGCCCTCGATGCATCGAGGAACAATATTTCTAATGCTGAATTCATAAAGTCATTTTGAACTCTCTGAACCAACCAAATGGAATCATATATGGGTTCGGGTGGAATCTCCTTAAGTAGACAGACATCTTTCCTAGTCAAGTTCTTGTGTCGGTCTTCCAAATCACACTTTATTTCACATCGAACTTCTTCCCAATGACATTTGAATAAACGAGATATTATTATAAATTGTTCAAATTAAAAAAAAAAATTTCAAAAGATTTATTTGAAAAGATGGTTTCTTTTGTAGTTATTTTAGTAGTTATTTTTAAAGATTGTGGTTTTTGAGAAAAATATCTATAAATAGATATTTGAGGGTAAATAATGAAGACATCTCTTTCATACTATTCTTCTTTACTCTCCAAATGATTGAATTAGACGTTCTCTAATTCCTCTTTGAAGATTTTTTATTGTTTACTCAATACAGATCTTCTAAGGCCTGTCATATCCACTAAAACTGTTTACATCAAACACATAACAATCTTATTGAGAAAAGGATGTAAATATCATTTTTAAAAAAATGTTTATACACGTTTCAAGCCTAAATATATTTTCTAAATTATTCTTGATCTTATGTTTGTTATTTGTTTCCATAGTGTTTTCATTCTCTTCTTTGCCCGTATTTTTCGAACAGATATTTGAGCAAATAAGACAAAAATCAAGTCAAATTTATCATCTTGGATATAATTGACACTTACATATCCCAACCCAATTAAGACTATAAATGTTTGACATTTTCCTTATCTAATACGTTTGTGTAAGATAAAAATATCCAAAACACTCAAATGTATTTTAATTAGACAAAACATCTTCATGTATTTGATACACGTATCTCAATCTAAAGTATTTGAAGCACTAACAAATAGAACACAGCATCTCTTTGCTCGATGCACCCATCTTAGACCCAAGTAAACAATAACAATAACAATTCATCCGAATACCCCATGATGCCGGTACTGCCATCTCACTTAGTCCGATGCATCTATTTTGGCCGAATCATCCGGGATATGTTCCAACCATTCTACGCATCTAATATCAAAGGTCGATACGATGATGACGATGTAAATCGATGGCTCTGTTTATTTCATCGGTGAATCTCGTGCCGACGGCTCAGATGAATCGAACTGCGCCAGGCGGGCCACCAGAACCGTTCATTCCGAACCACAAAAGAATAAGCTTCTGCGAGGAGAAGGGAGGGACAGTGGTCACTTCTGCTGCTGCTTCTGCTAAAATTTGTTTCTATTTCTTTAACCTGCCGCTTCTCGTCTCCTCTTCCTCTACAGCAGATCTCGCAATGCGGGTGGGAGAGATCGAAGGCGGCGCCCATTTCTCGAGTTCCTGCTGGAATTCGTCGCCGCCTCTCGGAACCAAGCTTCGGATCGACCTCTTCTCGCTAGATCCCTAAACGTCGGCCCGAAAGAAAACCTCGATACCGTCTTTCTCCAGAGGTTTCCGAGCGCTTCCGGTCGGTCCCCTTCTTCCAAAGCGTTCCCTCGGTGGAGATCTGCAGTTGGTATAGTCTCCGTTACCTTGGATTGACGGTAGGTGATATTTGTGCTTCGGTTGGCCGTTCTTGAAATCCCTTGTTTCTGCTCCTCGATCTTGGCTTCTGTTTGCTTGATCACTTATTTAAGCGCAAGGATTTTCCTTCTCCTACTTAATCTCGATATCTCAGAGCTTCAGAGGAAGTGGTGGTTTCAGTATCATTCTAATTTAATTGCTTTCGGTTTCTACTTTCCCTTTTCTTTTTCTGATCAAGAACGGTTGTTGTTGTTGTGGTCGTCGTCTGGCGTCGCTTGGTATTAAGGTTCTCTTTGCACCATTTGGTCTTTCATCGGCAACGGTGAATCCCAAAACAAAATTGGGTTTAGGCCTGCCAAACCCCGCCAGCATGAGCTTGATCTGAGTGGCTTCCCCAATCTCGGCACCATGTGGAAGCAATTCCTGAGTAAATTACCTCGCAAGTCTTCCAAATCTGATGCTTCCTCGGGTTCCGATAGCCATCCCAGCAACGATTGTACGGGTCCCTTGAACGGGAATCCGATCCAGCGGACTAGCAGTGGCAATGTGGTTCCCTCACGATCAACCACGGTGAAGCGGACTGCTTCTGCTATCTTCCCCTCCAGTGTCGTCACCAGCATCGAACCTCTTTTGCTATTCAAAGATGTTCCTAACTCACAAAAACAGAACCTTTTCATTAGTAAGTTGAACCTCTGCTGTGTTGTCTTCGATTTCTCGGATCCAAACAAGAACTCCACCGAGAAGGATATGAAAAGGCAGGCGCTATTGGGTCTCATTGATTATGTTGATGCTGGGGCTTCTCGTTTCACCGAGCCTATGATTTCTGCTTGCTGTAAGATGTTTGCAGTTAACTTGTTTAGGGCCTTTCCTCCAAACACGCGATCTTGTACTGGTGGTGGGGAGAATGAGGAGGAAGAACCGATATTCGATCCTGCTTGGTGCCATCTGCAACTTGTCTATGATTTGTTGCTCAAGTTTGTAGAGTCATCCTCACTTGATGCTAAAATTGGGAAGAAGTATGTTGACATTTCATTCATCGTGAGACTGCTTGACCTCTTTGATTCTGAGGACCCCAGGGAAAGGGATTGCTTGAAAACAATTTTGCATAGGATCTATGGAAAATTTATGGTGCATCGCCCTTTCATCCGTAAAGCGGTGAGCAACATATTTTACCGATTTGTTTTTGAGGCAGACCGGCACAATGGGATTGCTGAGTTGTTAGAAGTTTTTGGTAGTGTGATCAGTGGGTTTGCACTGCCTCTGAAGGAGGAGCACAGGCTATTTTTTCAGAGGGTTCTAATACCTTTGCACAAACCAAAAACATTAGGTGTCTATCTTCAACAGCTGACTTACTGTGTGACACAGTTTATAGAGAAAGAGCCCAAGATGGCATGTTCAATAATAAAAGGGTTGGTAAGGTATTGGCCGGTTACAAATAGTCAGAAGGAAGTCATGTTCCTGAGCGAGTTGGAGGAGGTCTTGGAGGCTACTGACACTGCAGAGCTTCTAAACTGTATGGTCCCATTGTTTCAGAGAATTGGTTTCTCCATTAACAGCTCCCACTTCCAGGTAATGAAAACTGTTGTATCTAGTCTTCTTTTATTGTCCACTGGAGCATTATGCTTGTTTGTTAGTTAGCCTGAACCTACTGTACAATTTGAAAGGTTGATCCTTGTACACATAAGTTTCCAAGAATTTTCTTGGTAAGGGATGACTCCATCTTGTGAGCATCAGCATTGAGTTCCCAACTCACTGAATAATTCTGTTGAATCACTAATAGAAAATTTCTGTTGACTTCTCTTGCCTTTTCCTCTTATTAGTTGTTTTTTTTTTCTTTGCCAGAAAGAAGATATTGTAGTGTCATCTGAATTTCTTTTCATGTTACACTGGTTCCTCTCTGGATGATGTGAACATTCAGAGGTAACCTGACAGATTAGACTGTCTATTGATTGGCATTTACAGGCTTGCCATTCAACTTCCTTGCTGATTGCAGAAAATTTTAGCAAACAAGACTGAATCAGGATTTATCTGTGTTGATAGTTTGTCACCTAGAATGTGTTATGCTTTCCAGCTCTAGTGAAGATAAAGTGAGAAGTTGAGCTTAATGTGTTGAGTGTGCAAGAAATGATGGAAGGCCAATAACTATTTTTAAGTGGCAGAAAGAAAAAATAAAATCATATCCAAATTATTGAAGATCATATGGGAAAAATTGTAGCCTAACATGAGTAATAGGAAAAGAATGAACTATAATGCTGCCAGTGTCATAAGCCTCTGAATTATCTTTATTACGGTTGAAGCCAGCTCCTTATGCCCTAACTAGCTCATATCATTCTTGAAACATGGCAGTTATATCTAAATGTTGATACATGTGGTTCTTCTAATGGTGTATTGAAAACTAAAAATTGTTAGACTCACTATTTGAGGATGGAGGAACAAATATACTTAGGATCAGAAGTTCTCTGCATGGTCCTTTCTTCTGATAATGGCAAGTATGAAGCATAATGATGGATCTGAGATACAAATATGAAACAGATAGGCCCATGTTCATACAAGTTTGGAAAGAGAAAGTAGATATCTTATATCTAGCACATTAACAAAATTGGAGAGAAAAAAATGCCACTCACAGCACAGTGGTATCTTTATATAGGCTGTAGGTTACATATGGTTTTCTTTAGTTAATAAAATACATTGTACAAGAGCACTTTTAAGTGCTGGAGAAACCCTGACTGTAAGCACAGCACAGTAGATAAATTAACGATTATTATATTATTTCAAAGAAATACCATCAAGTGTTTAGTGTTTTTGTTATTATGTATAGAAGGTAGTTTAATCAAGTATATATTGTAATAATGATGACTTTAATTATTTGTTCATCTGAAATTTACTAGTACCTCTTATTCACACTTGAAGGTACAACCAAAAATACATTGCATATGATATATATATATATATATATATATATATATACACACACACACATACATACATACACATACATACATATATATTTATATATGTATTTATATGTGTATGTATATGTATGTATATGTACATATACATACACATGTACATACATACACATATATGTGTGTGTGTGTGTATATATATATATATATATATATATATACATGAGGTTCCAATAATGTGGAGTATAGGGAGGATATCTATGCAACTTTACCCTTGTAAACAAAATGTTTTTTCCACACTTGGAGCATTTGACAATGACATCTAAAGTCACCTTCTATGTGTTCAAATTTCTCTGTAGACCTAAATTTAATCATTTCTTTCTAGTTTCTTTTTGTCCTTTTAAATAGTAGCGTCTGCTTGAGAGTTCTATCATGTTCTTTTTGTTTGCTAGTATTGTATTCTCCTGTTACTTTATTGTTTGTGTTGTTCTTTGATTGTATTCTCTTCATGAATACGCTAACAGTACAGCAAATCAGTTCCTGGTGGCCTCTATAATAAATCTATATTATCAACAGAATGAGTTTCTTTAGTGATTTTCGTATGGTTAATCCATGAACAAGGACCTAGCTTGCTTAGGAAGCAATTATAGCAACACTAGAAAATTTTGAAGAACAACTTATTAGTAAGGTCACATTACATAATTCTTCCTATGCTTGTTTTTCTTCATTGTGATTACCCAGTCTCTAAACAGATAGTGATGTAAAATAAGTGTGGTCATCTGTTTTCTCCATTATGGTGGTTAGCAAACAATAAAAAATGCACTATAATCATGAATAAATTTTTTGGAACTGTATCATAAAAAAAGTGGATGATGTCTTAATGAATAATCTGTAAGATCATCTTTGGTTATGACAACCTGTCCATCACCTTACATTGTCTTCCTTAAATTTGTTACCAGAATTTATACCATTTCTTACAGTCAGCTTGTGTTTCATTTTTCATTTTATCATCAATATCTTAGATGTCTTAAATGATTTTCAGGTTGCAGAGAGGGCGCTATTTTTGTTGAATAATGACCATGTGATTAGTCTGGTGTCCCAAAACCGGCAAGCAATCATGCCGCTCGTTTTGCCAGCTTTAGAAAGGAACACACGGAGTCACTGGAATCAAGCGGTTATTAATCTATCACAAAATGTGAAGAACATGTTATCTGAGATGGACGAAGAGATATTTTTGGCTTGCAAAAAGGAGTTGGGCGAGGAGGAAGAGAAGAGAAGGATAGCAGAGGAGAAACGAAAGATGATCTGGGAGCATCTGGAGGGCAGTGCGGCCTTGCAGCCAGTAACTGGTAACACAGCCGTCATGGTAATGCCTACCGTGGCTCCACCTATTACTGCTGCTCTTACTTAGGCCGAAGAAGTAGAAATGGCGTGAGAGAAAATGAGAACGAGTAGCCTGGGGTGTGTGCAGTTTGCACAAGTGCTTTAGCTCACTCTTTTCTGTTTCTTTGGGTTTATTGTTGTGCCCCCTAATTGCTCTGCTAGAGATCGTTGGTGTATTTTAGGGAATGCTTGTAGGAGTAATAGCAACCATTATGGGTACTTATGCTATTTATTAGGAGCATAAGCCAATTCCCGTAGTTCTTGTTTGCCCACTTGGTGGTTCATCCGATTACAGTTGTAAGTATCTTACTCAGCAGCACGGGGCACGCAGGGTTCTATGCGTTGTTCGATGCAGTGACATTACCGACAGGAAGTGGGATTTGGTGTGGTGTTGGACTGATGGATGTTCTTTATTTAATCGTATTGTGTTTCTGAGTGCTGGATTTAGGGTTTTGTGACATTAGTTGGCTGATGCTATGGTGCGAGACTGACGGAGTTGTGACGTGTGTCGCTGGTGCTCCTCTGGCTTACAAGGTGCTTGCTGCCTCCAGCGAATGAGGCTCCGTCCTCAAACGTAATGTTATTGCCTTGTGAGGACGCCCGGGTCGAGCCACTGTTCGCAGCGAAATTCTTCACTTCTCAGCGCTTATATGATAGAAATGATGAAATGTTGAGAAAAATATGTTAAAGCAGAATAATTTTTTTTTCTCATATCAAAATAAGTTTCTCATTAAAATATTAATTTGATATCAAAATTTAAATATACATAATAGAGTAATAAATCAATCGTGAGATCAAATATTTTAACGTGAAAAACCTAACGTGAGAAAAATTATGGGACTATAATTCACCTCAAATTTTCACTATCAATAGTAATGATAATAGGTTTACAGTAAATCTTTTCTAGAATAACCAGAGGATCATAATAAAATCAAGAACATAAATCTTGGCTCAAGAATAGCATATCATCATCATATAGGATGGATCTCATCAAAAGAGAATTCTAGGTCTCACAAAGTGGGTATAGCAGGAAAGTACCTCAGAGAAAGTAAACTGCAGATCAACACCATTAGGATTGTAGAGCTTGCTCTGATACCACTTGTTGGGAAAAACCTGTTAAAGCGGAATAATTCTTTTCCCTCTTGTGTGATTGAAATTGAGCAGTCAGATGATATGATTAAATTAAACTCATCAAATTATTCCACTTAGAGCGTATGATGAAAGATTTACTTTATTGCAAAATAAGCCCATCAAGGTTAAAAATAAACCTTCTACTATGGATGATGAAGAATGAGAAGTTCAACATAGAAAAGCTATTGCCTATATTAGAAGATGGATAGATATAATCTTGCATTAGCATATTTCTGATGAAACCAGAACTGATGTTGTTTGGTAAAGGTTGAAAAATCTCTTTGTGAAAAAGATAGTAGAAAATAGATTTTCTCTCATCAGAAGACTTGTAAATTTGAAGTATAAAGATGGTAGTAATATTGTGGAGCACATAAGCTTATTTCAGAGTCTTGCAAACAAGCTTGTTGCTATGAAAATGAATATAGATGATGAGATACAAGGATTACTACTTCTCAACTCTTTACCAGAAAGTTGGGAAACATATGTGGTGACTATTTGTAACTCCACGCTAGAGGGGACTCTAACTATAGATATAGTTAAAGACAGTTTGCTAAATGAAGATGCTATAAGGAAAGAACAAGGTGAATCTTCTTCTGCGGCATTTGTTATTGAAAAACAAGAAAGACGTGGAAGAAGTCATAGTAGAAATCCACATGGTTATAGAGGAAGATACTGCTAGTCATAGCTGCCCACCAAGCCAATCACGTGAGTGATGGCAAGTGTGACTTGATACAGAATCTTTTTGTTTATTATATTTTGGCATATATCACTTTATAACTATTGCATATATATATATATATATATGTATATATATATGTATATATATATGTATATATATATATATATAATATATATGTATATATATATATATATACATATATATACATATACATATATATACATATATACATATATATATACATATATACATATATATATACATATATACATATATATATACATATATACATATATATATACATATATACATATATATATACATATATACATATATATATACATATATACATATATATATACATATATACATATATATATACATATATACATATTTATATATATATATACATATATATATATATATATATATATATATATATATTGTGATGTCCTTGGATTTGTGCAATGGGAATCGGATCGTGATGAGATCACGATAATAAGATCAATTCACCTTTAAACACAGATCCTAAATAATCCCGGTCACAGGTTACTCGAGAGGGACATCGTGATAACCGGACAGACTGGTGTGCTGTATACCCGTCCATATGATGGATGCAGCTGGTCTCATAGTTGCTCGTGTAGGGACACTAGGGATACAGTATAGGCGCTCATTGGAGAATGAGTTCACTGATTGATCCGCTTACGGAATGCTGGATAGTTGATGAAGCCTTATTGTCAGACAGCGATTCCGTAGTCCTAGTTGTGTATCTAGCCCTTAGATTTAAGACACCAAGGATGTCCTATATGAGTGCTCCACTCTTTGATACCAGACTTATAGGTTTGGTTGTCTCAAATCTCATACAATTGGTCATTGAGAGTGGTAGTCGACCTTACGAGGGCTATTGAGTGTCGATAGAGGATCATCCACTCTCAGCGTCATGAGAGGAATATCCCATGTGTTCTTGCTCAGACAAATCCCTGGCCAGGGTCATTCAGGTTGAGAGAGAAAGAGTTCTCCGAGAGAATCCGATTAGAGCGAGACTCGAGTAGAAACCGTATGGGTTGGACAGCACCATGCTCGATATACGGTCTCTGGGATATTAGATAGATGAGGGGCTATAGGTATACGGTAACTGAGGACAGACAGGTCCAATGGATTGGATTCTCTTGTATCGTCTGGAGACTACGGCGTAGTGGCCTAGTACGTCCGTAGTCAATGAATCGAGTGAATTATTACAAAGATAATAATTCACTGAGTTAGAAGGAGTTCTGACAGGTATAACTCACGGCCAGCTCGATATTGGGCCTAGAGGGTCACATATATTGTAGGCATTGCGATGAGTAGAGGTTCGGATATGAGATATCCGACGGAGCCATTATTTTATTGGATATCCAATAAGCCCCTGAATTATTGGATCCCATGGACGAGATCCAATAAGAGCCAATGAGAGATTATTGGATAGAGATCCACTAATCTAAAAGGCTTAGGTTATTGGATGCAGATCCAATACCCACTAGGGGAGGATCCATTAGGTTTTGACAGGGGACCTCTATAAATAGGAGGGATTCAGAGGCTCATAGGCTAGAGCCTTTGCTTGCTTCTCCTATTCTCCTCCCCCTCTCCACCTCAAAGCAGGCCTGGAGTTTTGAAGAGCGTCATCGCAGCCCTGCTATGTGGATCACCGCTAGAGAGGAGGATGCTTAACCTCCTTCACCCTCTCCTAAAGATCTGCAAGGAAACAGGGATATACGATATCCCTAGGTAACATAATCTACTCTATACGCAGTTTTAAGTTTCGCGGATTTTGCGCACCAATCTTCGCACGAAGACAAACATTTCTTTGAGAATCAGGGATCTTATTTTCTTGTTCTTCCGCTGTGCATGTGATGTCGCCTCTAAGATTTCTCAACAGTGGCATCAGAGCCAGGTTGTTCGTGCGAATAATTGGTTTTGAACTACGTGTATTGTGTTTAGGAAAAACTTTTGACGTCAAAATCTTTGACGCAATAGCGAGAAAGGGCAGTGCAGTCGCAAGCAAGCAGCACAAGGGCTGCGTCTGCAGCAGCCGGCCGGCGGCCTGCTTGCAGCAGGCTTACTGCCGGCGGGGCTGGCAGCCCGCGGGCAGAGGTGCCTGCGGCCGCTTCTCCCGGGGGGTGAGGCGCCGTAGGGTAGCAGCGCCTGTCGCCACTGCTCCCGCGGGAGAAACCCACCCGCAGGGGTGGTCACCCGGTGTGACAGCACCGCTTGCGGAGGCGGCGACTCCCATAGGGGCGCCCACCTGCTGGGTCAGCACCGCCTGCGGGCGCTGCCCTGTAGGCAGAACTGCCCGCGGAGGCGGCGGCACCCGTGGGGGCGCCCACCTGCAAGGGCAGTGCCGCCAGCGTGACACGGACTTAGCTGGTTTTGCCTAAGTCGTGTGGCACCCTTGCACGTCCATCC